CCGTTTTGAGATTGAATTACCGGACTTAGATGGTTTCCTTCCATTTCTGAACACTAAGATCAAAGTGAACGAATCTGGATGCGTCGAAACGGGGTGGTACACAAAACCTGCCAATAAAGGTCTGATGTTGAATGAAAGATCCCATCACCCAGAACATATGAAACAAGCCTGCATAAGTAACACCATCAACACTTACACCGTGATATGTTCGAGTGACGCCTTACTCGAAGAAGCTGAGCAGACGTTCAAAAGAAGAGCTATACGGAATGGTTATGATAACAGCTACTTTGATCGAGTCAAGCAGAGAAAGAAAACAACACAGAAACAGAAAGAATCCCTCCCCACGCTGACTATCCTGTATGTGTTGAGTGGCTTCACAAACGACATCAAAAGAGCGGTTAAACGTTCTAACCTGAACGTACGAATAATTCAACGACCCCAAAGCTCCCTCAAGAACCTCCTTGTCGAGTCAAGACCCCACGATAAGTCGTGCAAAGACGTTTCCAAATGCCCTATTTGCCACAACTCATCTATTCCCGTGCAGTGCTCGCAGAAAGACGTCGTCTATTTAATTAACTGCGATCTGTGTGGACGAGGCTATGTTGGTGAAACCAGTAGACCTTTAGTCATCCGTTATAAAGAACACTACCGCTCCGCAGCTAATCCCACAGCACCATCATATAAGAACATGGCTTTTTCCAGACACTATATCGAGTGCCACCCTGGACAGGAACCAAAGTTAACTGTGAAAATTCGGAAGAAAACAAGTGGCTCATTGGACCGAAAGATCACAGAAGCATTATTCATCCAGAAGCATTATTCATCCAGATTTGAACAATAAATACGAACAGCTTAGCGTAGCAAAGTTTCTAGTGTAAGGATTTATATACTAATTTTTGGAGACGCTCGTTAAAATACTTAGTTCTAATTTATCTAATTGATATATTTTAATTCTCGGACACGTCAATTATATGTTTACGCAAGCGCATACACACGAGCTAATAACGGTCGCATGCTTTAACGTTTTTTTTAGTGCGTATAAATGTAACCTGATGATGGAGTAAACTCCGAAACGTTGTTACAATTTATTAAATTTGTTATAAAAAAGCCTTCTGGTCATTACTAAAAAGAAAATTATTACATTTAAATGAGGCTTAGAGAAAGTTCGCTCCTAATCACATTATTCAGAAGATCAATCAGGTGAAGAAAATTATGTAAGATAAGATTAGAAGTATTTAACATTAACATTGTTACTGAGAGTACTCTAGGTCTTGTACCAGTACCACTGCCACCATCATGTGTTAAATACAGTGATTACAAAGTTCCCTCAGGCCTAGTTCTTAACTTTTTCTTTATCATATAGATAATAAATTTATAGAAACAATTTTAGTTTAAACTCAGCAGAACATTACGTTGAGTTTGCTCAAGGTGCCAATCAAGTAATGGTATGGGTTGGTCTTACTCGAGCAGGCGTTGTTCTTGGTCCACATTTTGCAGAGAGAAACCTCGATACAAGAGAATATTTACGTATTATACATTACCATGTTATACAGAGGGACTTTCACGTTCATAACATCGATAGGAATAACATGTGGTGGCAACAAGATGGAGCTCCTGCCAATACCAGTAATGCAACAATACAATACCTTTGCGGACAGTTTCCTCTTCGACTGATGAGCAAACGTGGGGATTGGCCATGGCCCCCTCGCTTCCCATACCTGGCAATATGCGACTTTTTTCTTTGGGAATACCTTAAGCAGCAAATTTGGAATGTATCACACGATCAGCAACGGCAGAATTTATACGAGTTTTGCAACTCAATTGTGACAGCATGCCGTAATCTAGAACAACGAATGATCCATGATTCCGTCGACACAATGGTCTCATGGGCAGGCAGTGCATTCATGCTAGAGGACACACGATTCCGAACGAATAAATCTTCTTGTATTTTGTGAATAATAATACTTCGTCTCATAATAAACAATTTGTCAAGTGTCATTTATTTACTGCTAATAGCTTTGTGTTTCAGTCAAGCAAAGCTTGATTAATATTTGATATGGCATTTTTTTTGCATATTTTAGACACATCCAGAAATATGCTACCGATTTTGAACATTGCTAACTCCGTGAATTTTTAAGCAAAATACAACTGTAATATATCAAAATCTAAGTTAGTCTTCCCTCTATCTAATGAAATTTATTTCAGTTTAATAGCTTCACTCATTTAGAAGTTATTACGAATCAAACCGGAGTACTTTTTTTTGGGACACCCGGTATAGTACAGTTTATACTGCAGAAATTTTTCTTTATCATGTAGATAATAAATTTATAGGAACAATTGTGACAAAAGAATATTGGCAAAATACAAAATGTTGAGAAACTATAAACCACAAGCGATTATTGTACCTATTGAGTATTGTATTATGTATCTATATTAACTGTTCATCTTTGCGTAATAGCTCAAATGCAATGCCGAAAAATGCAAAGTTCTGAGCATTACTAGAAAACGGTCATCCTCTTCTTGCTGAATACATTGTCAACGGTAAAATTTTGCAGCATGTTTCAGATCTCAGATGGAACACTCATATTTATGAGCAAGTTATGAAAGCCAACCGCCTGCTTGGTATGCTCAAACGTTCGACTATCAAGGTCAAAAACGTAAATACCCATCGCTGTCTCTACCTTACACTTGTGAGATCCCATCTTGCTTATTAGTCTAGGACCTGTATATGAGTTTGTATGCGATTCATTTAGGACAGGTAATCTCAACTGTTTTAGGGTAAAATGACCATGGCGGTCAACATGGCATATGTGCGAAAACCTGAATCCGGGACGAAAGTCCTGAAAATGACCCCGCCCTGAAACGGCAGTGTCGACATAGCTCTAACTTCTGAAAAGGAAAAGCGATAGCTTTTCTGAAGTGCTTATAGTGTTTAGAAGGGTTGCTTTTAGGGGTGGTCATTGGAAGGAAAAATTTGTCGAAGTATAATATTTTACCAGAAAATGCTATGCACCACCCCAGGTAAATTGCTGATTATGCCCAAAATAACTAATATGCCTGGCAGAAATGAAATATTCTTATTTCCTAAAAAAAATTATCATGGGGTGAAAAACTATGCTTAATTTAATATAAATATTGTTGATTTCATAAGGATTGTCATTGTTTTCTTTAAATATAATACATTTTATTTCACTTACCCCCCCCGAAAACACGATTTCAGCCATATTTTGCCGTCTTGTTTCCTTTTTATCGCCGAATCTCGCAAATATCATCCAGTTATTGTACTTTTACATAATCATAAATGGCTGAAGAAGATTTCAAAGGTTTCATCCACTTTTGTAACAGTGCAGTGTATTTTACCTTCGATATTGTGTCCTTCGATATTCCGCCAAATTGCCGCCATTTTAATGGCTCGCCGCTTCTCTGTCTGATAAATGCAACTTCTTCGTTTCCATATGTATTTAGATTACAGTATCCAAGAGTACTTCATTGTAGAATAATCCCAATCCAAAAATTGGCAACATTTGTCCCATTAGGAAGGAAAAATCCTCCCCGTATACCATTTAGGTTCAAAATAAAAAACAAATCATTTGAAAGTCACACGCAATCTTCACGAAAACTTCTCGTGGACACATGACAGGGGGGGGTTGAATATTTTCACGAATATGTTCACCACCACAGAAACCTAACTAAATATATTGTATTTATTGTATTTTTATGATTTATTGTCGAATAATAGCGCATGCGCATTGACGGTGTACCACGGTACAGCGTGAACATATAAGAATATATATATACATAACCTTTTGTAGGGTTAAAATGGTACACCGTGGAGTATTTTAAAATTATCGCGCTAAATATTGTCTGAAGTAGGTTGGAATACTAAGCAATACACATTCTTTCAAGTCCATTTCATTGGTTTGTATTATATCCTATAACTGAGGATATTATCACAGTCTTAGTGTATTGGTCAGTGGTACACCGTTCGGTATGACATTGGGAAAATATGAGCATTGATTTACCATACCAGGAAAACTTGTGTCAAAATGCATAATTCACAATGATATAGTTGTCGCTTAATATTCTAAATATATGCAGTAAATACCAGAAACGCGGTAACTATATTGAATTTATTGTCCCTTAGTTCTACTGGATACCACACACATTCGTCTATGTATGGACTGAATGTATAACCTATCAATATATAAGTTGCACAAACTCTTATGGAAATATATTTTTTGTGTCGTACATTTAGTGCATCTCATTCACTGATCGTTTGTATGTCCGTCTAGGCACCTTTCACATGGTCGACTATAGGTTGTCTATTGTGTCTTGCAGGTCTTATATATATACAGGATAACAAATATGACTCGTATATATTTCTTAATTTCTGAATTATTGCAACGATATTGACTAGAAAGCGATAGTTTTACTTTCTCAATGATTTCTGCAACATTTCGTTCCTTTTAATTGCTAAAATTAAAAATAATATACTGTATCATATGCGATTTTTTAGGCCAAAAAGTTTCTACCACACATTATTACCCCTCCAAAACACTAAGGTATTCATGACGTATTTAATTAATGAAATAAGGTACTTGATGTAATTATGAATATAAGTTTGGTCATGAGCAATGCGCATAAACAAAATACATGGCAAGGACATGTATAACAAGCGAAATATAAAAGAATGTAATTTCGACTCATTTCAGACAATCCTGGACAAAACATCTGCGACACTTCCAATTATACTTCCGCTACCCTGTTCCAAACGTCCTAAACCTATCAGTTCTATTTCCAAGGGATGTTCATACAATGATACCCTTCTGTTGCGACGCCTTGCCAACCATCGTTTATACAACAGATAGTTTCCGCACAAACACAATACAAACAGAAATCCCAATAACGGACCCAATGTGACATACAATAAAAATAGCTTCGGTTCTTTGGATGCTGGATTATTTAGTTGTCTAGCCATTGATGATGCCTTTATGGTCGTTATGAGCGTAGACGCTTTTGTAACCAGCGTAGAAATCGTGTCAAACACTGAACTACCGTGTCCAGAAAAAGGTGGAGTTGTCGAAAACCGCAACATTAAAGGGGATGCTGAACTGTTCAGTTGTCTATCCATTGATGCTGTCCCTACCGTGGCAGCAAAAACAGAACGGAATACCGTAGAAGATGTGTCAAACACTGTACTACCGTCTCCAGAAAAAGGTGGAAAAATACAATCACTTCTAAGGCTCCGTTTACATGAGACCGGGACGAAGTCAAACCGGAATGAAAATTGAAATTGTCAACATGTTTACATGAGACCGGTACGAGGATCACAAAATCTTCAATTTATTCCCCTTGCCAGGCAATTTTCTTTTTCAGGTGTCTTTTGCTAGCATGTGTTGTTCCAGTGTGAAGATTACAGCCGAGCCCGGTCTGAAATGTATTTGTGTTTACATTCATCCCGGTCTGAATTCATGCCGGTCTGAAGTCAGTTGGTTCGGTCCAGCAGGCGGAATGACTTGAGACCGGTCTGAGTTATTTTCGTCCCAGTCTCATGTAAACATCTATTATAGATAATACTATGACCGAAACGAGATGGTCCCGGTTTGACTTCGTTGCGGTCTCATGTAAACGGGGCCGAACGCGTACCTTTGAATCCCGAATGGCTCTACAATCAAGAGCTAGGTTCTGGCGAAGGTCAATATGATGCAGGTTGGGAAATACCAGTAAAAGTTCTGTTATATTGATAACAGCAAAATTGTTCTCGCTGAAATCAACTGCCCTGACCCAAAGCTGCCGTGCTGTGAACAACCCGTCGATAGTCTTTAAAGACAGGTCACTGCAATCTAGTAAACCTATGAAAGGTTCCTCAATACAGGTTTCCGCACTGAAATTCACAAATACCAATAAACTTAATGCCAAGAAAAGCATTTTTTATACTGATCACCTTAGCTCAGGTTGTTATGAAGTCAAACTATCTTGCTATCATAACCTTCCTTCTTTTATACACGGCGATGTTTGCTAGCCTAAATAAATTAATCATACTACAATGAAACGTTCATTTTCCTGTAACCAAAACAATAAGCTGAAAACTATGCAAAAGCGTGAGAAGACTATAATAATCTTTCTTTTTCAAACAGGTGTAATATTTGTTATTTTCAATCATGATACTGTGCATTATAATGCATTGTTAATTTTCCTGTAGCCACAAAAATAATCTGAAAAATATGCAGAAAGCGTCGGAAGACAGAGGTCGAAATTAATCATATTAAGCGTGCTAAAAACAAATAAATATTGCGCAATGTTCAGTGGTAACTATTATTAATAACTGCGTAAACGCTCATTTTCCAAAAGTGGAAGCATCAAACAAACAAGTGGAAACACAAAACGGCGGGAATCTCACAAACAACAACAAGTCGACAACAACAAGAAGTCAAAAAGTTATGGGAAAAGACAAGAAAAAAGAAGCGGAACAACAACGGAAAATAAGGCTTGATAAAAAAACAAAAACGAAAAGCTTACAGGCTTTCTGCGCATACGCCAAAAAAAAGAATCCGGCGTTTCTCAATGAATTTCTTGCCTCCTATGAAGGCAAGCAAAGCTCGAACCAGGAGGCACAACAAGAACAAGAAACCCCAGAACAAGAAACCCCAGAACAAGAACCCCCACAGCAATCGTTGGGACTGCCGTTGGTAAATGATGCACACCTGGACTTTTTAAATTATCCAAATTGTTTGGACTTTTTAGATAATATAAATTTTGACTTTTTTAATGACTTTTAGACAGTTTTCGAATAAACATTTTTATTAACACTATTCTTTATAACAGTTTTTGAAAATAACACATATTAAATGTTCAAAACTATTAGCAAAATTGTTTATCATACTAAGTCCAAAAAAAAGAAATGCCTGGGTTTCTATTTCTCATATGCAAAAATAATATCTCATATAAAAAGATTAGGGTTGGTGATTTCTTTGGCCTAACTCATTAGTAAGCCCTAATGTCTCCTGTAATATACTTTACAAAAATAGTATCAAATCAAATAATGTAACCTAGTAGATGGTTAATTAAGCCAATATACAGGGTGTCCCAAAAAAACCGAAAACTATTGAAATCACCAATAATTTAATTGTTAGAATTTGAATGCCTTAGCACTCTGTTGGTTCCCACGAGTGCATAAATGATTGACATAAGTAAATTTTATGTATAAAGAAACTATTTAAGAAGCTGCTTTTGATTCCCAAGAGCAAAAAACCGCACACTTTACAAGGAGATGTTCTTAACTAAATTTTAATACATGCACCTTGTCAATATTTTACGCATCATTACGTTCAGCTTTTTGGTAGGGCATTGAATTTTAACAGTAAGTGATTTCAATGGTTTTCGGTTTTTTTGGGACACCCTGTATATCTGGTAACCCATTAGACATGGCTACCATAAGGGAATCCCCTATTTGGCCTAACACTATCTAGATTATTCTTGCTGTCTCAATGCCAATTAAATCTAAAACATATTAAATAAATCTGATTTTATCAATTCCTATTTTTACAGCTTTTGTTCTGGATGATACAGTTTGTGGAAAGACAGCTGCTATGCAGTACATGGTACAGGACAAATGCTGTGGGGCTTCAACTAAAAGCAAACCAGCTGAGTGAGACTTGACATTAACAATTAATGACTTTGGGTACTCATTATTTATTTCTGGCCATGTATATAAATATAATTAGGAAATTTTAAATAAGTGTAGGTTATAGTAAGTGTAATTACTCAGCCCCAGGAGCCGGTTGTTCAATGCTGGACTAGCGCTAACCCTGGGTTAAAATTTAGGCTGCTATTTTAGTTTGTGTATTTCTACTGTACACATCCGTTTATTTTAATTTAAACTTCAGAGAAGAAAACTCGTATCGATCCAGACAAGATCTCTGAAGAAATATTTCCACATTTATAGACAAGCTGTCAGGTTAAGCTAGGGTTAAGCTAATCCAGCCTTGAACAACTGGCCCCTGGAGAAAATTTGATTGTGCAGTGCATAATTATATGTGTAACCTATAATTATATATTTACTAATAAATACATTTAATATTCTGATCTAGTATTTCTTCATATTAAATTATTACGGCTTCAAGTGAACATGACAGAGGTACAGTTGCAGCAACTTGATGTTGCAGAAGTAAGAGGAAATAGTTTTATGCAAGAAATAAAACTCACTTGGTGGCAGTTATGTGACATATCTGCTTGGTAGATAATATACAGATAATTTTATCTGTAGGGAAACTATACTGTCACATAACTGTGACAGATATGTTATTGGGCCAAATTCCGATATGTTGCAGATAGGCAAGTTTGCTTAATATGCACAAAGAATGTCAAACTAAAGGACAAGTCATTATCAATTCTTTCTCGTGGAGGCTCTCATCAAATCAAAAGACACCATGAGCGTAATCATCCCTCATTGTCACTAAGTACTGTGAAATTACAGGTTGTGCCTTTAGATCATATTTCTGTCCCTAAGGACATCAGGGCCTTAGTTTCTAAACAAAGTATTAGTGACAAACAAGCAAACAAAACAGTTAATTCTGTATCATGTATAAATAGTATGATGATATTAGATGACGAGCTCTCACCTAGCACTTCTGCCCAAACGAAAGATCCAAAAGAAATAAGATCTGCGAACCATGCCTCATCAACGAATGAAACATTGACTGGTATGTAAAGTGAATAATTGAATCATCCAAATGCAAACTGCAACAGTAACTGCAGCCAATATGTTTGATATATATTTTCAGATGAAGAGGAAGACAAAGTTTCCAAGGGGAAAGAATGTATGGGAGAAGTCAGTTCATTTGTGCAAAGCGACATTGAAGGATATGTGCACATTCCAAAGCCTAATATGGAGGAAAAGTTAATTGGCATGATAGAGAAATTAACAATTAAGGTTGATAATCTTAGTAAGCCCTCGACAAGTTCCAACAAAGCCTCATTGCCATCGTCACATTTCAGTGAGACAATGAAAGAATCGTATGATCACATGAAAGAATGGAAAGCGGTTAAGAACATTGTTGAATTGGTCAGCCATGTGGAAGACCTGGCAATTTACCCAATGTCAGAGGAAGATGAAGAAGGTTTATTCAAAGAAGGTGGTGCTATATTAAGGTGTGAAACTTGTTTTGCTTTATACAAAGATAAAGCAAACAAGCTAACTCCAGTTAAAGCAGCGCAAAAACTTGCCTCTGACTGCAGAAGTATTTGTACTGGGAAGTATTTGAGTCCAGAAAGAATGGAAAGTGCTATGGCTGGGCAAGGTGAATCCTGGCGAAAAATGAAAAGTTCTATTCTTCAACATATGATATGCGCCGAAGATGGCCAAACCCATTTTAAGGCATTAACGATGCTCAGCGAAGAGAAAAATTTAAAGAAGATTCATTATGGTGCTGCAGAAACGTTGCTTAAAAGTGCATTAACTGCTGTAAAGGCCAAATCTGCAGCTATTCATTATGAAGATCAGATAGCTTTTGCTTTCTCCATAGGTGCTCAAGTGGGGCAATGTGGCCATTCAAGAAAGTTGGTTCCTGATATGGTGAAGTGTTTGCTTGCTTCCATACATGAGAAAACAAAAGCTGAGGTAAGCAAATGTCTCCCAAGTACAGGCCTGCCCCCACATTATTACATGGCTGTTGACAAGGCTACTGTAAATAAAAGATCAAATCAAGGCGTCATCATATGTCCAATGATAGATGGAAAGAAAGTTCCTATTGTTGTTGGTGCACCAGAAGTATACTCGGCAAGTATAAATGGTAATGTGGAAGGAGGCAAAGCTGATGATTCAGCTGCACAAGCATTTAAAGAAATCACCAACAAATTTGGAGGCAAAACCCTAGATTTCTTAGTTGGTGAGTGCTTTACTGTACATTTCTTAAATGTCCTTTCAATTCAACCTTGACACTTAATACTTTTTTATACGATACCCATCCCAATCCTAGCTATGTTTATTGTTTAATACATTTTCAGGTGTTTTTGCTGATCAAAAGCCTTTCTTAAGACTATCAACCAAAATGACCTTAACGAAAGCTCGTTTATAAGACAAGTTGGGTGGATGAATTTGGCTGTTACCGATGTGAAAGATTGGGTCATCAAAGGAATTCTTTTCTACGTTCATCAAACAGACAAACAAATTTTCAGAGACTTTAAATAGAGGAAAAGGTATAAAATATTCCTGTTTACAGTCAATGTTGACTATTGTTTAAGCCACTGTAAATGGAGTTTGTTCAGATACACTTCTCCTACTACTGTTCATATAGTCCCTTAAATGAGCATTTGTAATTTTTCATGTTTGAACATAGCCTGCAAATACAAAATTTATAATAGTTCTGTATTCGCAGGTTAGTTTGAACATAGGTTTTACATTATAGACGAAGAAACTACACCATTGTGTGAAAACGTTTTATAAGGTTTACTCATTACTGTACTGTTCAACAGGAAGAAGCATCTTAGAATCCACTGCAAAGCAGCTTAACGTGAAGCCAACAGTGGCAACTGTGTATTCTCAGACACGTTTTGCAAGTTCTGCATACGTCCAGTGGCAGCGGATTGTTGATTCGTACAAGCTGTTTGCCGAAGCAATGGCTCAAGCGTCAAATGCAATGGAGAACGACTTAGACCCTTTGCAATATCAAGTAATTATCTATATTGTATAATTGTAAATAGATAAAACAATTGAATCTTTGAGTGTTTCTTGTGGGATTTTGTCACAGACCTGTTATTGATGCATGACGTTTTTGAACCTGTGGCAAGAGTTATGACCAATCTTCAGGGCATATCTGTACCACCATGGAAAGCCTACCGTTGGGTACAAAAGTTAATCACATGGCTAAAAGAGGCTTCACGTCAGTGTCATGAAAATGGGAATATGGACTTTTTTCCTACAATGAGGGATAATGCACAGGTATTGTTTATATCAGTTTACCTAGATATAACTACTGTAGTATGCCCAATAAGCAACCTGTAATCTGGTATTTCTCTTAGAACATCCTTGGCCTTGATCGGGGAAATGAGGATAAAACACTGCAACCTACTTATCAAGGCATTGAGCTTGCAATTGGCTGGAAAATTGTTGGCACAGAAACCGTTTTGGAGCAGAATGGATCGAATCCACCCAACAAAACAGTTTTAGTCAACTGGGCAGAACGTACCGTGACAGAGTCCTTCCATGATGTTAGCACCTTTGCAAACGATCTTGCAGAATCTCTTGATTATCGTGTTGAAAAATGCATCACTAATGCAACAGGAATGGCAGATTTCTTTGATATCGAAGAAGTCTTCATCCACTTATGTGGCGAGAAGCTTGATGATGTTGAACATGTTCAATTAACATGATGAACATGTTCAATCAGAAATGGCCCAACTGCATACCAATAGCATCTTCCTTTTTGAGTTTGCTAACCATTCCCCTTTTAGAGCCAGTATAGATGAAGAAGAAGTGATCAGAATGTTGTACACTAACGAATTACTCTTCACTAAACCATGACATCATTTGATATTGCAATGGCAATGGGTGGCTCTGAAGCCATGGTGGAGAGTTTTTATATCGTTATGGATACGCAGAAGCAGGTCCGTCAGCATCATGTGACCTTGGAAGATAGGACCATTCTAGATTGGGCCACAAGCAATGTTTTGAATTCAGAAGATATTATCGCAAAAGCAGCCAAATTCTACGTCGATGGAAGCATGGCAGAACCTCGACTTTCTCGTCATAGGGTTGGTAATTTGAAGAGGAAATCATGCAACTCTTACAAAGCAAGTCGGGTTTTAACACGTCTGTGTCAAGAAAAAGGACGTTATCCATTTTTGTCATGAACATTGGAAGTTCCAGATTAATATTGATATTCTTTTAATGGAGTAACTTTATTCCTAACATTTATATACATTTAAAATTAAGTTAACTGTTAACATGCAACAATGCAACATTTGATTGCAATTTTCTGTTTTTGAAAACTAGCAGCAGTATATTGCTGTTACTAAAACTTTATTGTGAATGCATTGTACCAGTAACAATGGCAAATAACAATCAAACATTGTAGTCTTAATTAACCTGTTAATGTATGTTACTATGTTAAAGGGGAATATTAATAAAAATGATAAAATCCTCAAGTCCACGCAAGTTAATTGGTTGCTGTGATTTCACTGACACATTCACAAAATGCGGACATTATTACATTAAACAATTAGTCAGTACAACTTCCTTAATTAATACCTAATACTTAGTACCTACATGTACTTGATACTGTATGATTAAGCTAAGTGAAGCCATGGAGGGCACCTTTAATGTGGTGCACAGGATACCTGGTGGTGCACAAGTTTATATCATTTTGGTGCACAAAAGACAGACATTCCATACTGGACCATTACGTCTCCCGAAAAGGTCTTTTATTTTTTTAAAAGGTCTTTTAATTTTTTTTAAGATTTGAATTCCTGCCTTTTGCACCATAGCACGTATGTTGTTATTTTCAGGCCAGTGTGAACGCCTGAGCAGGCGTCTTGTTGTAATATTGCCTGGTCATCTACATTTGTAACTAATGTAAATAGAATATTTCACTTACAAAAATGTGCAGTGCAAGCAATAACAAATTCTAATTTTTGTGCCATGCACTCTACCCCTTTATTCTCACAATTGGGTATACTAGATATATTGAAAGTAAACTCACTTCATATAGCACAATTTATGTTCTGCTACCATAGTCAATTATTACCACCTATATTTGTTGACTTATTTACACAAATAATCAAATACACAATTACAATACTAGATCAGCAATTAACTATTTCACCCACACTTGTCGTACAAACCTCAAAAAATTTACAATACTTTATCAAGGACCAAAAATTTGGAATTCTCTGCCAACAAATATAAAAGATTCACTCAGCTTTAAGAAAACTATGATGGAATTTCTACTCAATTAGTGTCTGCCGCCCAAATGCACTATGGCTGTAAGTTAAATATCTATTATTTTGTATATTTTTATATTAATATCTCAAGGTGATAAATCATTCATTCAATCGTTCAATTTTCAGACAATCCTGGTAAAAGAAGTTCATTTCGCAGTGAGTCTTTGAACGAACAAGACATTGATATAATGACGTAATCGTAAGGAAGGTATATTTTTTAGTGGCTACCTGCTCATCAGAACATGCAATATCACAGAGGGAGGGTGTCAAGCCGACAGTCAAAATCAACTCCCCGCATTAAGGATGTGCCTTGTGCGAACTGCTCATTAGGAGAGACATGGACACAGAGGAACAATGGTGTATTTATTGGCATTGTTGGCGATAGAAAGCTATATGTTCTCTTGCTTCAAGTATGGAATCGAAAGTCGTGTCAAAGAGGGCATGGGCGTTGCCAGTTTGCATGGTCAAGGAATGTTTTGACTCCCAGACAAGACCAGACAGCCAGGATTTTTGCCTTGGGACATCAAGGACAGAACACTGCCAGTGAATCCATTCCAATCCAGAATGTCAACATTGACAAACCTGAGGCCCTCTGGTTCAGCAAAGCAAGCACAGAGTTTACAGGGACAGCAGCAACAGATACCATGTTGAGCTGACAGAATCCAAGGAGTGGCTCAAGGTCAGCTGCTTTGTTCAGCATTATCCTGGAATCCGACTAGGATTATTCCTAAAACCACATCCATCCTTACCAAAAGGCCAGTTTGTCTGCCTCTATGCACAACAGAGGAGACTATGGATGTCACTGGTAGCTTACAGGATTATGTTATCCTGACAAGAAAGGTAAAACTTTGCTTCCATGCTGAATAGCAGAATGGGGTGTGCCTCGGCAGGTTTGCCAACCAAATACATGCGTACAAGTCCTTGATACAAGTTCAAGAGCGCAGTTGAAAGAGCCAATTCACTGAAATGCGAGAAGACTGGAAACGAATCAATTTCTGATGCCCAAAGAGCAACTTAGAGTATGAGGAAAGGAGAGAACAGTTCGTCCTTGTCGTAGCAAAAGACCTCCGAAGTGGGGAGCAGGCCCACAAGTTATTTTCCCACTATGGCCATCTGCGTGAATACAGCCATTCCACTTATTTGACGCAAGCCCAAAAGCTTCCCAGATAATATGAACACCGCTGTTTTTGCACAGATATTTTCTATTGTCTCAGTTTCGGCTTGGCTTCCATCGTGGCCTTTTGACTGAGCTTGCAGCAACGTTATATCTGAATGATGTATGCAGAGAAGTCGATTTGGGGAAATTGGTTGGGGCAGTATTTATTGACTTAAGTAAGGCTTTTGACACAAGTCACGCCAAGCTACCAGAGAAACTCTCTCGGTATGGAATAAATGACAATGAGCTTGAATGGTTTAAGGACTACCTTTTCTCCTGTAAATCGACAGTTGCTTATCTGATTTACACAATATCTATTCTGTTGTCCCGCAGGGATCAATATTGGCAGTGTTTCCACTTTCAACAAAATTTCCTTTTCAAGGATATTTTGGAAAAAAAGGAATCAAGGAAATCTAAGGAATTTCTGAAAATTCTAAGGAAATGTAACGACTTTTTGATTCAACTGAAATGTTTTGAAGATTCTTTCAGGAACATTTCATTAATTTTAAATTATATTACTTTCCTTCGCTCGTAAAAACCTCTTTCGGAGCCTGTGAGCAAGTCAGTAGAATCTAAAATTATTAATTAAACTAAGTAGGCTGCACACAACCTGAATTTTAGGCGGAAATCAGGTAGCGTGCTGTGTGCAGGCCACCATGTGTTGGCTGCCATGCGAATTTATATGAGTTTATTTGTCATGCGAATTTGTTGACTATTGAGAACAGTCTTAGAACTCTGGTATTTTACATTTTAAAGCTTTCAAAATTGTTGTGTAAAGGCTTTCTTTTTTAAGATTTGTATGAAAGAAATGTACCATTCTGTTTCTGTCTCACTCTATATAAGTATTGATGAATTCTAGTTGCCAAAATATACTTCCAGACTTTCTTCATTCAACAATCGTTCTGTGAGTTGTTTTCAAAGGGGAACTGAACAAGCAACTGAACATATTACATCTGCTGTAAATGCCAACAAGTTAAGAGCATGCAAGCTGGTGCACCAATATGCATTGAAAATGATGTATGTGATCTCTTCAAATCCTATTTTACAGTTCAACAACATGGAAGGGAAACGAGAAACAGTAACAATATATTAAAGCTACCCGCTATCAGAACAGAGTATGCTCGTAAATCATTCTATTTATGGGGGCTAAGATCTATAATGATCTACCAATAGAATTAAGAAAGATTGAGAACAATCTAGATTTTGAGAATAAGGTTACTGAACATTTTAATCAATTATAAATGTATTTATGGTTTATCATGCAAGTAAACGTTTTTAATAATGTACATATATAGATTTTAAGTATTTAGTTATTTCTTGGATAATCGGGACACACATTGATAACAGCTTTTAGTTGAAGTGTTTTGTCCTGTATAAATATTTGTAATATTATATTATTATATCATCAGCTGGTTCCTTCACTCAGATGGGGTCATAATCATAGTTTTAAATAAATATCAGTAGCCTCGTGGGGATATTTTTAGCGACAGCTCCCAATGGAAATGTAGCTGCCAATGCAAAATTTGGTTGTTGGTGAAACGATTTATGTAATGTGATTTATGGATTGTAACTTACCGACTGCCCCTGTCGCCGCTGCATGTGCATGCATTCATTCTCCGAAGCTTTGTTTTCTGGGCATTTGACAATAGCACACTTTTGGGATAATTTGGGATGGACTAACATCCTCCTACCCGATTTATTTAAGTAAACAAAACAATATTTATTAATACGTATATGTTTGAAACTAGTAATGTTTTGGATAATTTGGCTAGGAGTAATCATCCTCCTACAATCTTAGACAAAACTGTTGAGAATTCATATTTTTAACCCCCTTGCCCCAAATCAATGTTGCATACAACATGAATTTTTTTTATTTTCAAACCCAGTAACATATATTTGACAAGAAAAAACAACATTGACACGGGGAAAGGGGTGTTGAGAATCTGTGGCAAAGTTTAACCTGATTTAATGCAATAATTAAATACTGTCATTTAGATTTTTGGTCTCAACAACTATTGTCTAAGATTGTCTGATTTGTTAAAAACGTACAATGTGATTTAATTAAGGTTTCAAAAAGGCCTAACTGTACTAAATTTTGAAATTTCTCTGATTTGTGTTGTTAGGTAATTATTGTAGGAAATCGCAACTATTAACTTTACAGTCTTGCCTCCAATTCCACATTTTTTGCCTTTTGCAGTGCATCCGCTATAAAACCTTCATTCGCCTTTCTCCACACTATTCCTGTTGGTGCTACTGCTTGATCCTTTGGGTTCTTTGTGTAAGTGAAGCTGACGCCATTGAGATAAAAGGCCACATCTTTGGTCCAAACATTTATATCGTACTCTTTGGTCATTTTCCTTGCAAACTTTACTAGTTTAGATTTATCGTTAACACTAACAAGGCCTTTCTTGCGTGCCTGCATGTATTTGTATCCACTTGCACGAAGAAATCGAGTGACTGTCCTCACTGAGACATGAAGGACGTCAACGCTTTCCATAAGTCTTCTTACTGTCCAGTTGCCATTTTCCCGCCTCAAGGCCTTAATTTCCTGCAGTAAAGCTCTCTTGTCACATAAAGTAAGCTTCTCAGGACGACCACCAGGACCTTTTAACCTCTTTGAAATTATCTTAGTTCGAAGCGGCTCTTTCTTAATCTTGTAAATTTGTGCCCAAGAGACTTTCGTTTCTTTCATCAATTCCACAACAGGAGTATTTCTGTTGTATTTAATGTAAGCATGTGTCTCTGGATCAATTTTCTCGGTAAAAACCATTCTAAAATATGTTCACATGCTGGCTCGTATAGAATTACAACATCTGGCAATCTAAGTTGCTTATAAATCAACACGTAATGACTGACCATTTTCATGGCAAAGTAATGTAAAAATCACGTAATGACCATTTTCATGGCACCCCCCTTTCCGCCCGCCATGAACATATGGCCAACCCGATTTCAATTACATCCTGACAAATGTTATTCAATCTATAAAAATTTAATATATATGATAAGTAGAAAATGTTCTTGAGTACTTTTCACCAACACAGCAAATTTCATGATTATTAGATTACACTGATATCGAAGGAACTAGACTCAGTTCCGAAATATCGCATACTCGAACCAACCTGACTGCATAGCTCAGTTCGCAGAGCAATGGGCTAGTATTCCAGAGGTCGTAGGTTCGAATCCCACCGTGGCCAGGCATATTTCTTAAGCCTTCCCGGTGTGGATATACACACAAGAATCTTATTCACCTGAGTACATTATACCAACACAGCAAATTTCATGATTATTAGATTACACTGATATTGAAGGAACTGGACTCAGTTCCGAAATATCGCATACTCGACCTGACCACGTAGCTCAGTTGGCAGAGCAATGGGCTAGTATTCCATATTTTTCAAGCATGCCCGGTGTGGATATACACTCAGAGTAACATCACACAAGCATCTTATCAAAAGACTTTTGACAAATTTTAAAATATCCGACCAGCTTTTTGACATGTGCAGAACGAAGCCCAATAGGAAATTTAAGAAAACTGATTACATATGGGTAGTATATTGTAATTGTTCTGATTTTGACTTACTTTCCATGTATTCTGTGTGATATGTATATTAATATTTTCAATTAGTGAGTGTATAATTAAAATGAATATAGCTGGAATAGAATCTCGAATTAGCCGCCCCATTTACAACACTTAAAACAAGTCAAATCGATATAAACTGCACGCTAAACATAACAAAAAAGAAATGCGATTGTGATTTAAGAGCGAAGGGCCAATATTAGCATAACAAATGATTAAGACTTGTCTTTTGCAATAATTGCAAACCTTAAACTCTTAAGTGCACAAAGCTTAATAGAACAAGTTTCAATGGTTAGTAGTTGAATATTGTAGCTATTTGTGTATGAATTGTTCTTGTAAGGAGATATTTACCATGTCTCTAAGAGATGGGCCCCATATATATGATTTCTAAACTGATTAAATGATGCTCCCATTCTGGTTTGCACGCTTGGAGTTCAAGGTTTAGAGTCTGAGGTTTGCAAATAACAATCTTTTTTGAACAATATGGTTCCCATATTGCATTGCAATACACTGTTTGATACTGCCGTGACGTGAGCACCTCTATAAAGTTCTGTTACAGAGACTTGGTTGAGCAAAAAATGTAAACAGAGTTGAAGAAGAAACAATTCACTTAAAAACTCCAAGCATTATAAAAATAGCCATAGGGACTTGTCTAAACCATAGCCGATTTTCAACATGGTCAGTCAGTTTTAATTGATTCCATCACCAATTGAAAGGGTTCATATTAAAGCCTCACTGTACAATTTCTGTTTTTCCTCTGCATCATTTACATTAAAGATTACATTGATTCAAATACGATGGCTTCAATATTATGGGTATGTATCCGAGCCATAAACAATATTAGTCAATCTCAGACAGAATAATATAATTTTAATAAAACTACAAATGACAGGATTCCCCCAGTGGCCAGGCATATTTTTCAA